ATACCGCATTTCCCCCGCCCACAATCCTTCTTGATGCCATAGATCAACATCCCAGAGATTGTCTCTCATCTCCTGTGATTTTTCTTCTGGCTCCAGTTACTTTACCCAACAACTTTTTCATTTCCTTATTTTGGTATTTCAAACCTTCTGGATTCATTTGAAGATGAAAGTGGAATGCCTTTCCCCATATTGTTTGCAAATACTCACTTTCCACCAAGTTACCTCCCTCTGAATATTTCAATGTAAACTTGAACTTCATATACCTCAATTATATAGGTTGTGGGTAAGATAACCACATGCTCTACATAGCTAAATCTTCTTAACTCTTCACATGCAATGAGAGAGAATAACCTAAAACTAAAATCATTGTGGTAAATTAACAGTTGTGTTTCAATAATAATGGTGCGCTGTTTTTCTTGAAAGAAATACTAGCTTCAGTTAACAAACCTCTGGGATCCTCCCCAAAGACTATATGACTTTACAGTTTCTATGCATAACATTTTCAAAGCCCAAAGGCTTCTCTGTAATTGTAATGTAACTAAAGTCCTAATAAATCCAGCTAACACACTCAAATAATTAGAATTTTTTTTCACGGCATTACATAATCCTGAATAACAAAATGTTGAATTAAGAATCTGGGATTGTCATTTTAGGAATATTTATCGTGAAGTATCAGCGTTGTTTCAGAGATTCATTCTACCATGTGCCTCTTTGCATTGAGCAAGAGAGATTATCTGGACAGTATATGCAGGCAACTGCCAGCTCTCCTGGAGCTTGGGTGCACAGCTTTCAGAATGGGGTGTCCATTGAGAGAAACAGCAGAGCACCCAGAGGGAGTAGGAGAATTTGCTTTGGGTCAAGTATGGGCAAAGTAAGAATGATGAAATGTATTGCTTTGCACTACTTTATTTATTCATTCATTTGTTCTTTGAAAAAATATTTAATAAGAATCAGTTCTGTAAAAGATACTATACTAGACACTTGTGAAACTCCGATGGGTAAGACAGTCATTGTCCTCAACAAACATATTAGCGTGAAGAGGGCTCGTGTTAACAATGCGCTATACAACTTACTATTTACGTACAGGTGTGCTCAATGCTGCAAAGGACGTGTGTAGGGATGAGAGTGAATAACAAGGGAACCCAGTCTGGCATGAAGGATCCAATATGTACCAGCTTGGCCAAATTATATGCTGAGAAGGGCAGGACATATGGAAAGAAACAGGAAAGAGAATTTGCAGACTGAGAACCCAGGAGAAGACAACTGCGTACTAGAGAATAGTGGCATGAGATAAAGGGTCGAGTTTATACAGTCTAGTGGTTCTCAAAGGGTGGCCCCCAGAATAGCTTCATTAGTGGCACTTGGTACCTGTTGCAAATGCAAATTCCCAGGCCCCTCTCCGGGCTCAGTGAATAGGAAACTTTGGGAGAGGGGCCCAGCAATCTGTGTTTTAACAAGCCTGCCAAGTAATTCTGATGCAT